ATATAGATAAAACATATAATAGTAAAAAATAGCAAGACAGAAGTCAAAAGAAAAAGCCAATCAAGAAGAATATATCTTTATAACAAGACCTAAAATAAAGATTAAAAAAACTATGCACAAGAATTCAAAAGCAATTAGAGGTAAAAAAAACATTAAAATGTATCCAAAAAGAAGAACAAAAGGATAAAAAGAAGATACAAAAAATAGACAATATATAGAACCTGATAGAAAGGTAATTTTAATAATAGCAAATAAACACATCTAAAAAGAGAATTTACAATATGACAACAAATAGAAGATATTGCCAAAAAGGTTAATAACAAAAAAAACTATTGTTAAGTTACAAAACTTATTTAAACATATGAAAACAAAAAAAAGACAAAAAGTTATAGAAATAAAAAAAAATGAGTTAAATAGAGAACTTAAGATATTTGACAAAAAGTTAATACTAGATTACTAAAAATCCAAAGACAATGATCTGATTTCTGAATAGAGAAAATAAAAGGCTAAAAAAAGAATTTTTTAGAAAAAAAAGAAAAAAAAAGAAAAACAAGAACAAAGAAGACAAATAAAAGAAAATATAGACAAAAGATGAGAAATGTTCAAAAATGATTAAGAAAAACTAATAACTAGCCTTCTAAACAAACTATACAAAAAAATAATACTTGACAGAGTAATTAAACAAATAAAAAAAAAAAACTATTTTAGTGATATATAGAGTTAGAACTAGTTAAAAAAGTTACAGTAGAATATTACAAAAAACAATTTAGAAAAAGAAATACTAAATTAGAAGAGATGTCAAAAGACTAAAAAGAGATCTATAGGCTACAAGATCATATTAAAGAGAAATATTATAATGAAATTGAAAGAAAAATTGAAAAAAAAAGTAAAAGAAAATAGTCAAAAAGCTCAAAACAAAAACAGCTTCTAAATTATCAGAAATAAGCTATACTCTAATTAAATAAGCAGAAAAGAAGATATAAAAGATGTTCAGAATCAATACAAATCTAAATTTAAAGACAGAAAAAATATCTATAAAATAGAAAATAGCACAAGTATATCAATGATAATATAGAGATAAATAGGTCTAAATTAAAATTAATAGTAATAAATATAAAAATTAGAAAAGAGAAAAGAAAAATAATATTTAGAAAAAACAAAATAATAAAGAAGCCAAGAAATAAAATAGTTCATTCTTTAGAAATTTGGCTAAATTACAGAATACAAGAAGCTTTAATAAAGAAAAAAAAACAAAAAAAATAATAAGCCAAATAATAAAAGTAGAGTTTTTATATTTAGTTTAAGTTTAGTTTAGTTTAGATTAAATCTGAACTTAAACTAAACTCAAACAGTAAATTTTACTAATTTCAAGACCAAATCCAAACTTAAACTCATAATTTCTATATCTGAACTAGACTCAAATACAGTAATAAATTTGGTTTGGTTTAGTTCAAAGTTTATAAACAAGTTTGGGTTCAAATATAAAATATTTAAAAAAAGATTTGTAATCTAAAGTTTAGCTAACTCAATTTCTAAATACTTTTTAGAAATTAAGTTCAATAAACTATAATCTATATAAATAAAGTTTTAATTTATACACTTTTTTAGAAGTATAGTAACTTAGTAAAATAAATAAGTTGTCAACTTCTAAGTAGTAGATTGAAAGTTCAAAACTTACTAATAGTATAAATTTAAAAACTATTTATATAATATTGGTATTACAAAAAGTAAGCAGTATTATAGCAATAGCAATTTGTTAATTAGTTGGGATAAGATACTTGTAACTATGGTTACATTAGCATGACTGGCAGGTTATAGAGCATCTGCATAATATTAAAATTACACAAAGAAATGCAAACTTGCATTGGGTAGTACAAATACAAAATAAGTCTTTGTAGTCATATAAATCTATAGAACTAGAAAGCCAGAGCCTATTTGAAAAGACCTAAGTAGAGAAGTAGTACAGATCTTTGATAGTATCACTATAAAGGTTAAATCTAGAAAATGAATATCAATATAAAAAGAATTGGGCAAGCAAGAATCTTAGTGAAAAATACTACCAACCAGGCTGCCAAAAGTTTTAAGTTAAAGAAAAAGAATCTTAAAGAGACAGATTCTTGGAATACTAGAAACAGGTTACAGTTCTTTTGAGTTATCTAAATTAGAAGTTTGAAAACTAAAAGCAAAATATAGCTAAATATTAGAAATATGTTATGAAGTTAGTGTTAGAGTTTAAGTAAACTTTATAAAGATAAGTTCTGTTAACAAAGATTAAATATTGGTAGTTAGTTAGCAAAAAAGCCTTATAAAGCTCTACAGTTAGATAATGTATTTTGAAATATATAACAGCTTGACAAATGTACAAACAGAAAGGTCAGAGTTAGGTTAAATGGCACTTTAATATATAGAAACTTGTGTACTATCTGCTAGTATAGTATATAAGTTATATTGTATAAGTTATATAATTATAATTGAATTCATATTATTAATTAATATTATCATTGTTGGCATTTAGGTGAAAAGATCTTCTAGCTTGATTCTGAAAAAAGTAGTAGTACTAATATATCATCAGAAATGTTATTAATTGTAAAGTATTGTCATAACAAATCAAGTATATCTTTGGCTTTGGTCTGTTGTATAATAGGAATAGATGTTATTACTATGTCAATATTTTTTGCATTTAGGTATTTTTTGATTTTAGTTAGTAAGTTTGAAATTATTAGTTTGGATAAAGGCTTAGTTTTGTTAAAGTTTGTACTATGCATATTAACATTTTTAATATTTTAAGTATTTCAATTCAGATATCTGAAATGCAATAGAAATAATATTCTAAGTTGTTTAGCTAAGTTTACTAATGCTTTGGTTAAGGTTATTGGTATTACAATGCTAAATTCTTTGATATGTTCTGAGTTTTTTGACAAATCTGGCTTGTCAGTAAGTTTTGTTATCATTATATTAGGTAGTAATAAAAGTAAAAATTTGTAAACTAATATGATTTAGTCAATAAACAAGTTTGCTATTTGGTTGTTTGTAATAGGATAGGTGAAGGCATTAGGTGTTTTAATTTTTATAAAGTCCTTAGATAATAGTAGCTTTACTTTGAAATAGTTATTTGAAAAGCTTCTGAAGAAGAACTCTTCTCTGAGTTGTTTTATAATTTGTGTTAAATTAGTATCTGGATCCTGTAGATCAATTGGAAAGTAAAGTCTATATTTGCTGCTTAGGTTCTGATATGCCAATAGTAGTGATTTTTTGATAATAGTAAGTCAAAAAAACTAAAAAGTATACTATCACAAGTATAGTAATCTTGTAGTTTCTTTTTAAAATATGCTAAGTTATTTAGTTAACTATGCTCTGTAATAGAAAAAAGATCTTTTATTTCTAAATAAAGTTTATGTATGCTTTTTGATATTGGGCCTAATGCTATAAAGTATTTTTTTAACAATTGGTCAAAGTTATAAATTCTGTGTAATCTAGAACAATGGTCTTTGTTTGTGATCTTTGTTTTATAGAAAGTTCAAAAAGAAGTATTTGAAGATTTTTTATAATATTTTACTTGGATCTGCTAGAAGTAGAGTTAGCTATACAGAGAAGGCATTCTGTACTACTTATTGTATTTCTTTAAATTCAATTAAAGTTTTGTCTTTAGTAAAATCTTTGTAATATTTAATTAAGTAACATATAGTTTTGGCTGTATTTGTTATAAAATTTGTATTGATAAGATAGTTAATCATGATTTTTTGTCTAAGTATTGCATGTATAGTATTTCTAATTACTTTTGTTGTAATTGTAATTTCATGTTGTGTTTTATAATTTTTGATTGCTTCTTTAAACAAATCTTCATATATGATTTAGTAAGGTGGTATAGATTATATCTCTTGTAAATATAAGAAAAAAGACATAGTTTTGATATTTGAATTTTGCCTTGATTGCAAGATGAAGAGAAAGATTAGTTGGTTTAGTTTGCAACTTGTGTACTGTAAAGTTAAAAAAATTTCTTTTTTTGTTTTTAGTGCTGTAATAATTTTATTATATCTTTAGGCATCTTTGTCAAAAGATTAAGTAATTCTATTTTGAAGATTATCACATATTCTATCTATTCATTCTTAGGTGTGATTTATTTTTATATCTGTTTGTGTTCTGCTAAACATAAGAATATTTTTTTTGGTCATTTGACTGTAGATAAGTAGTTTGTATTCTTCTGAATTGCTATCTATAGTTGCAACAGATTCTGTGTCAATGTGACTATATTCTGTATTTATATATTCTTTGTTGTTTAGAATGTTGTATTGATTATCTGTACTGGTCAAGATATCTCTAGTGTTGGTGTTTTCTAAATTGGATTCTGTTGGAGACATAAAATTTGTAAATTCTGTTAATATGTTATTAAAACAGTTTGTATAGATTTATTGTTATTGTTGTTTGTATATAATAATATCATGCTTGAATTTAGTAAAGGTGAGCTGGATTTCCTACTTTTTGCATTACTTTGGAGTCTTGAAAGAAGAGTTTATCATTTTTTAGCTTGTATATCTGAGTAAATAGAGTCTTTTTTGGTGCTAGTTCTGCTTTTCAAGAAGCTATTGCTGTAAAGACTTGTAGTTTGCTTTTCTATTTGTAATTGTAGTATAGTTTTAAAGAAAAATATAAATAAAAGACCTAATGGCTATGTTAGTCTTTTTTGTTTGCTGTAGCATTGCTAGTTTTATTCTGTTTTCTTTTAATCTTGTTTGTGTTTCTTGTTTACCTTGTCTATAAACTATAAGCCCAGAACTAGAGAAAGCTGTTAGTCACTAAAACTTTATTTACTTTAAAAATTTCTAAGTATCTATTTTGCTAATTATTGTTTACTTAGTAATTTGTAATCTATGAAAAAAAGTTTTAACAATTCTTTTTTTTAATAATCTATTTAAATTTTTAATTTTTTTTTTATTTAACTAATTTTTTTTTTAATAATTTATTTTATTATTTAAATTTAAATATACTGCAAAATAATTAGTATGCTAAGAATAAATATAGAAAAAGGTTTTTGGAAGGTGATATTACAAAAGTATTAGAAAAGTATTTGTGTTGGAGGAGTAGTGATGTTGCAAATATAGAATGTCAGAGAAGAGAAGGTTTTAAGAAAAAAGAGATTGTTAGGAAAAGAAAGATTGTTAATAAATGGAAAGTTGTTAGGAATAGATAAAATTGTTAAAGAAAAAAAGACTGTTAGAAGAAGAAAGAATTGTTAGAAGAAGGAAGAATTGTTAAGAGAAAGAAAGAGTATTGAGAGAAAAAAAGGTTATTAAGAGAAGAAAAGATTGTTTGAAAATGATTATTACAGTTAATTTGAAAATTAATAGGATACTTGAAAAATTTGCTTGTATTATAAAAACTTTTGATTTCATTTTATAAACCATCTAAATTTTCAAAAACTATCTTATTATCTTTGGAACTTTAGTTTAAAATAGTAATATTATTTCTATAGAATTAGATAATTTATAAAATAAAACCAAATGATTTTAAAACATAAGCAAACTTTTCAAGTATCTTAGTAATTTTTAAATTATTTATGCCAAAGATGAATAATTCTTAGATAATTAGTTGTCTAAAAAGTGCATTATAATAGTTTGTTTATATAAACAAAGTATAAGACAAGATTTATCTTATGCTTTACATATAAACTTAGTTTTAGAAAAGTTTTAAAATTTTGATATTAGTTTTGAAATTTTGGCATAGTTTTAGAATTTTGTATAGTCTTGAGTTTTTGGGTTTTAGTTTTATATAAAGTGTTAAAGTTTCAGTTTTGGTTATTAGTCCAAATTAGTTTCAAGTAGCATTATTACTCAAAATTCTATTACTTAGAATTCTAACTCTGAGTAATGAAATTTTAAATATTAAGATTTAGTATATTGGATCAAAATTTTAGTAATTTCAAAATTTTAAATGTTGGAATTTTGAGTATTTGAATTTTAAAATTGTCAGAATTTTAATTTGTCAGAATTTTATATATTAGAATTTTGTTTTTGAGATTTTGTATGTTGAGATTTTGTATATCAAGATTCTAATATACAACTATACTAAAGTTGTATAAATTCTACAAAGATATAATGATTTAAAAATTATTTTGATTACAAATGTTGGTTTTAATCATAGCAATATTAGATTAGTCAAAAATTAAATAACAGAAGATTTTGATAAGTTTAATACAAGTTTAAAAGTTCTTTATATAAGCAAACTACTTTAAAAATCTAATAATTATAATATATTTATATTGATAAAAACTAATATATTAGTAAAATAAATAGATAAATAAATACAAGAATCAAAATATTTAAATAGAGAACTTACAAAGTTTTAGATATAATAATTAATATAAGACTATTAGACAAACTATTTAATTAAACAATAACTAAAGTTATACAAGTAACTAGTTATATATTCTTCTCATAATTGTCTTCTGTGACTGTTGTACTACAATCATAAAGCTGATATATACTATTAATAAAAGACTGGATTACAAGTACTTACTCTAATATTAAAAAAAATAAATGCAAATGGGTTAAATAAAAATTTTTTAATTAAATTATAAATTTTTTTTAATATTAATAATAAGGCCATATCTCTATCTTTATTGAATATTTATTTAAAATTTTTATATAAAATATAAATTTATAATTAAAAATATTATAAAAAAAGTAGAAACTCAGACTAGTTTATCTGTGACTAAACTAACAAAAATAGTTAAAGCTCATCTAAATTTAGTTATTAGTAATTATATATAAAAGGTTAGTTTAGTATTTGATCTATTATATATACTAGAAGTTAATTTTAGAATAAATTAAATTAGAAAGAAAAGATTAAGATAAATGTGAAATAAGATTAGAGAATAAATTAAAAATAGAAGAATAAGTTATTGATCTTGAAATACAATAAGAAATCCAAATTTTATAATATATTTTTTGATTAAGATAAAGTAAAAATTTAATAACAAATATTATAACTAATTTCTTAAATAATAAATTTAAAATAATAGAGATAATTTCATATAACATTAAGTCTGATAAGATTGAAAAGACTGATGATAGGTCTACTGTATTGTGTATAATTATACAATACAATTGTATAATTTGATAGTATAGTTTAGTTATAGTTTCTGAAATAGTATTAAGTATATTTGTATTTAGAATATATTGTAATAAATTATTAATAAGTTATATAACAGCTGGTTAGATAAATATATTATTTAATATAGATAAGAACTGGTTTTATGATATTGATAATAAGTTAGTAACTATAAGTAATATTATTTATATAAAATGTGTAGAGTAGAAAGGTCATCAAGTAAAATTTTAATTTTAAAAGATTTAAGAATAAAAGATTAAAAACTATATGAAAAATTTAAGATTTTTTGATTATAGTTAATGTATAACCAAGTAACTTGTTAATTAATTTGGATAAAGATTTTGTTTCATTTTTGAAACCAGTTTTGTGTAATCTATAATGTATAATATATATATAACAAATTTTATAAATACTGCAATAAGTAGGTAATTTTAAAGAAAAGTTTTCAAGATTTAGAGTATAAAATGAGTTATAAATAGTTAAATTATAAATATAATTACTAATATATATATAACTTAATAAAAGTAGACTATTTAGAATGTGATGACCTAGTGAAGTAAACAGATTATCAACTCCCAAGTGGCAGTTCTAGTGTTCAAATCCCATAGACAGTAAAATTTAAAAATTATACCTATGTTATGATAACTGTGTTTTGTTGATTGGTTAGACAAAAGAGATGATCTGTAATCTTAGAGACACTATCTTAAATGAAAACTCAGAATATCTATGCGAAGTATAACATTATACATATATAAAGAAATGTTAATAATTGACATTGCATAAGACTCTAGTGCAAATCTACGATAAGACTACTAGGCATATAATATTAAAAAACTAAAACACAGAAACCTATTTGGAAATTTCAACTAAAGAGGTAGTATGAACTTTTGATGGTACTATTGAACTATTGAAAAATCTCAAAAAAGAATTATTAGAATAACTAGAATAGATCAAATAATAACATGTTTAAAAAAGCATATACCAATCAGGTTATCAGGAATTGCCAAAGGAAAAGAATTTTAGAATACCATACTGGACTATTTGGATTAGTAGTTTGTAAAATCTTGTAAGTCTTGTAGGTTCAGAAGTAGAAAAAGAAGGTATCAGAATTCTAGTGAACTTTACAAAAATATAATGATTTAATAGTTAACTCTGATTGCAAGTAATGATCTAAATCAGAATAGTACTGAATCAGCTATAAGTATGAGATATAGAAGGCTCTAATGAGCTTAGTATAAAGTTAAACATAACTTAGTGACCATAATATATTTGCAAAAATTCTGCAGTTAATAGGATAAGGAAGAATATAAAAACTAGAATGTTTAAATAAAAAACCCACAAGTGGGTTCTAGGTATATCAACTAATATAAAACCTTCAGACAAACTACTTAAAATAGACAATAACTAAAGTTGTATAAGTGACTAGTTGTATACTCTTTCCATAATTGCCTCTGTAGCTGTTATACACAATAGTTATATGCTGACTGATTATCAATAAACTTCTGGATTGCAATTACTTGCTTAACATTAAAAAAATAAATAAATAAATAAATTACTTAAATAGCAATTAAAAGTTGTATATATAACTAATATGCATTTTTTTTATATATACTATGTAAGCTCACTTACAAAAATAAAAGTTCTTATTATATAGTAATTAAGTAAATATTGTAACTAAAAATAGGTGGCTAAAAAGGTCACCTTAATACCAAAAAAAACCAATTGCACGTAGTATTAAAGTGATAAAAGTTGACAAGTTTTAATAAAATATAAATTTTTGTTTAGCAAACTTTTTATACTTTAAGTAAACTTTTTGTATATAAATTTATGCGCAAAGTTTAGCATTATTTACTCTGATATTCTACAGTATCAAAGTAAAAAAAAAAAATGTATAAAACACATTGAATTCTGCAATTTTATTGGTAAAAGTTAGAGGAGATGTAATAAAACTATATTTTGTTAGGAAAAAACTACACGGATAATAAATGTACCTAAAAATTTAAGCTTGAAAAACCTAGCCTGACCTGATCAAGTTATAAGAATTTAAAAATTAACTTGGGTTAATATATACTATGACGTGAAAATCTTTATATCAATTGTTGTTATAAAGTATATGTATAATAAACTTTAATCTGGTTTTAATGCTGAGTAGCGATTACGTAAATGTTCTTAGAAATTATACCAGAGGAGTTAGGTTGTTCTTTAGTGATTATTAATCAATAGCAGTTCAACCCACTAGAGAATAGTATGTTTGTACGTATTTACGCACGTAGTTTAAAGTTGGCGTCACCCCTTTCAGCAACCCCCAAATTATGCTGTATAATCGCCACTCATATGATTTAAATTGACACTGCAGCATATGTCTATTTAACCCCCAAAATATTGAACTATTAAAACAATTAATTTTAAGCAACTTAAAAATTCAGAGAATTAATAGTTACGCGCCAAACAAAATAATTATGTACGTACATATAAAATGTACGCAACTGTAGCAGTAGCCTATAGAAAGGGTATGAATGATCAGTTATTTAAACCCTAAATATAGTGTCAGATATTCTGAATTCAGGGTATTAAATAAAGGACCAATTTCACAAGTCTGTCATCATATTACTGTATTCTGTATCAAAAATGAATCAAGACATTACTGTAATACCCATATTTGGAGAAGCGGTAAAGCCTTGTGACATTTTACATTTGTTACGTACACGATTTTCAATTTATATATGTGCATATATGTACGTACAATGCTTTAATGCATCACCATATGCGTTAAAGATTTTTTTTTTATATTTTGTCTAATAAAACAGGTTTGTAAATTAATATGTATTGATTATTATTTAATCTTTTAATAAAATATTAATGAAGATAAACTAAACCATATTAAGTTGGTTATTTTTGTTGCATTAAAATAAACAATGCGAGTGCAGGTGATAAGATAACTACGTAGTTGTCCGAATTTTTTTGAACCAAAATTAGAGTAATTTAGCCTAAACTTTAACCCAAATTCACAAATATGTCAGATCTCACCGTTACACTTGTTGCCATAGATAACGTTCCAGAAAGCCTCGTAAGGCTTGGATAGTAATCACGATTACGTACCGATGCAGTATTTCTGTTACGTAGTAATTTTGAAAACATTATTAATCAGGTTTTGGTCGGTTTAAATTTATCCGTAAATATTTCCCATTCAGTATTTCTTTACAGCTGTTTTCAAAAAGAAGTTTCTTTACAGCTGGTTTTAGCTAGAAATTTCCATATACTCATATACTCATGTGGGGAAAATTAAAGATCCGATTAGAGCGGGTCATGAAAACTCCGGAAATTCAAAAATAGTGATCTGCATCTTTTAATATTCCATTAGGTTCATTAGGTATTAAAAAAGATGTGAAAAAAAATGAATACATCGATCACAAAGTAAATGGGTAAAGTAAATAGCAGGTAAATAGATAGACAGTACGTACTTGCATACATACCTACGTACACACCTATCACTACAGTATGTACGTAGGTGGCTCTGATGTTCTCCACTGATAAAAATTTAAAACACGTAATATTTGTCAGTGACTAGATGGCACGTAATTTTGCAGACTAATAACTAAAATGATAAAGATTTACATATCTGATATTATTACTGATATTATTAGAAATTTACATTAGTCATCAATATTGTGAAAAGAACACAAGTGACATTTTACGTAAATTACCGGTAATTGCTTCTAATAACCTGTTTTGGACTCTTATGAAGTCTGTGTAAACAAGCAAATTTCCTTTGTACAGTATATTTTATGTATATATACGTATGTACGGCGGTATTTTATTCCATATCGCTATCACAATGAGAATCATTATCTCATTATGGTAGTCAAATTTCATTTATAGGTATATTGTTCAGGAGTATCAGTATACCATTCGAACACAGGGTGTGCCTAGGACTGTGAAAAAGCTTTTCGGACTCGGTCCTTGAGTTGACTAGACAGGGACTTTTTATGACCGACTTCAGACAAAATCCGAATGTAGGGTCTACATATCTTTTGTTCCGGAATTAGTCATTTGATTGGCTAATTTTGCTGATCCATACATGATATACACTCAAGATCAAAGTCCCTGTTTGGACGGACTTTTAACAGCACGAGGTGTGCCATAATTTTTAGTAATTAATCACGTGCAAAAATAATGTTATGCTATGTAATGCATGCTATTTACACTATCGTTATTTATAAGTAGTAGTTACTCAACTTATTCGTATTTTCATTTTCTTTATATGTATATGCTAGAGTATTTGAAAAAAGCCTAACAATGAAATATATGCGGGTTTTTTTTTTCCGACATTTTTTTTATTTTTATTTATATACTTTCATTTAAATGGAATAACTTATTAAAAGCATGCATAAATAACTCGTTTTTTTGATTTAAATACGTACAATTTCTCGCCCACATTACCATCTTTAGCATAAAAAAACCTTCTTCATTTAATTCTACTCACGAAATATGACAATAAATAATAACAGCGTATTTTCGACAGATAATCCTATCGTTCGTGCTAAAGGCATGAATGAGTTTCGTATGATAGATACTGAAATTTCAAATAACATTTTAAATCATAGACCAAATAGTACAAATGTTTCAAATATCCAAGTTCATTTTTATCAAAATGCACTTCACGGCTTTGATACCTCTGATAGTGGTTCATTTGTATCAGAAAGTTATTCACGAAATAGTGATTCTTTACACTTGACGATTCCTGAATTTCATATTAAAGAGACTTCACATGCTCAGGAATATGGTTCAAAAAATAAAAGATTTAGTCACAATTCATTTTTTTCAAAGCTGACAAAATCTCGGCGCGATTCAAAGAATCAAAAAACTCTTTCCCATAATCTCCATAACTCTCTCAGAGTTTACCAAACTTCTACTTCACCAATTATATCTTCGCCACCAATTATATCTTCGCCGCCAATTATATCTTCTTCACCAATTATATCTTCTTCACCAATTATATCTTCTTCACCAATTATATCTTCTTCATCAATTACTTCTTCACCAATCGCAACTTCATCTCCATCCTCAATTACACCTTCATCATCAATTACAACTCCATCACCAATCACAACTTCTTCTTCAATTATGCCAATCATTCCTGAAAATCCTCAAAGATTCGGTAATTTAGGTGACATTTCAAGTAGTACTATTAATTCTTTTAGTACATCTTTTGATGGTTATTTAAGATCTCATACTGTCGATTCTTCCGATTCACAAAAAGAAAATTCTGTTGGAAGATATCCATTAAATAAATCTGAGGATAATACTTTGGCAAAACTTCCAAATCAAAAATGTAAAAAAAGACTTTCTTCCATTTTCAAAAAACCAAAGAAACAACATCCTTTACTTTCTAATGCTATTCAAGCTTTAGAATTATCAAGATATAATGATGCTATCAATTTATACTCACAAATTTTAATGAAATATCCTAATAGTTATTCTATTAGATGTGATAGAGCTTATGCTTCTTATCAAGTGGAAGATTGGGATAGAGCTCTTTCCGATTTGAATTTTGCTATTTCAAAAAAACCAAAAAATCCTCGTGCTTATACTTTACGTGGTGAAATTTATAGACTTTTGGGTTCTTATAAAGAATCTTTAATAGATTTCAATAAATCTTTAAAATTACAACCAAAAAATGTTTACGCTTTAAGAGCTAGAGCTGAAGTTTATTATTCAATAAGTCATTATAATGATGCTATAATGGATTTAAATTTGGCTTTAGATTTAGAACCTACAAATTCTTATACTCTTGGTAGACGTGCTAAAGTTTATTGTTCTATTGGTTTCTTTGGTGCTGCTTTATTAGATTTAAATAAAGCTTTGGAAATTGAAGATTCTAATATTGATTCAATTTTGGCAACTCGTGGTGAAGTTTATTATTCTCTTGGACGTAATGATTTGGCTTTATTAGATTTAAATGATGCTATAATGCATGGTGAAAATGTTTCGGCACTTGAACGTCGTGGTTATATTTATAGATCCCTTGGTAGAGATGAGGATTCTTTGGCTGATTTTGAAAAACTTCTTCAACTTAATCCAAGAAATTTTATTGCCCATAAAACTATTTCGGAAATTTTATATTCTATGGGTGAATATGAAGATGCTTTAGCTCATATGAACATTGCTTTACAATTAAATTCTAATGAATTATGTTTAATTAAATTTCGTGGTGAACTTTATCAAAAACTTCAATATTATGATGATGCTATAGTTGATTTTAGTTCATTTTTAACTCTTAAACCTAATGATTTGGATGCTCTTAAATTTCGTGGTGATGCTTATAGATTAATTCAAGATTTTGAAAGGGCTGAAGAAGATTTTACTAGAGTTTTATCAATTGATCCAACTGATGTTTATTCATTAACTAGACGTGGTGAAGTCTATAGAATGCAACATGAAGGATTAAAAGCTTTACATGATTTAGATAAAGCTATTAATCAAGAACCTGATAATCAAATGGCAAGAGAAAGTCGTGGCGCTGTAAATAGAACTTTTAGACGTTACGAAGAAGCTTTAGAAGATTTAGATAAAGCTATATTTCTTAATCCTAATAGCGGTTCTGCATTGGCTAATCGTGGAAGTGTATACTATATGTTACAACGTCATAATGAAGCATTAATTGATTTAAACGCCGCCTTAACTATTGATCCAGATCATGTATTTGCATTAGAAACACGTGGTGCATTATATAATGCGATTGGAAAACGTGGTGAAGCGTTAATAGATTTAAACGCTGCTATAGAACTTGATCCAACGAATGTTTGGGCTTTAACTTATCGAGGGGAAGTATTATCAACTTTGGGAAAATATGATGATTCATTACAAGATCTCAATAACGTATTAGAAATATTACCGGATTGGGGTTATCCATTGGCATTAAGAGGAGCAATTTACCGAACTTTAAAATCATATACTAAAGCTTTATTAGATTTAGATAGAGCTATCGAGAACATAAGGTTCGTTTTATCATTGAAAAATTTTATTGTTTAATATTGATTATTATATTACATTTATAATAAATTGATTCTAATTTCTTTTTTAATTATTTTTAACGTTTATAGGGATAAAGCATTTCATCTTGAACATTCTACAATAGCATTATACAATCGAGGAGCTGTATATAGTACTTTGGGAAGATATGAGGAAGCTTTGGCAGATTTCAATAGGGTCTTGTTTAGAGAACCAGATCATTTACCTACATTATGTGAACGAAGTCTAATTTATGAAGTATTGGAAAAGACAGATAAAGCATTAATTGACATAGATCATATATTGAGAATTGATCATACGAATGAGCATGCTGTTGCTCTTATGAAAAAGTTGAAAGACGGTAAAAAAAAAATGGATAAAAAGAATTAAATGACAATTATTGATAATAAAAATGTATATACATAGATAATACTATATTTTGTATATTATAAAAGTAAACTATAGAGTTTTTTTTTTTTTTTTTTTTTACGGACTTTGATTTTAGGAACTTCTTGACAAGTCTTAATTTTTATCGTCACGTTTCTTTACAATCTTTACTCATCATGTGTTTGTTTGTTTCCCACCAATTATTAAATAATTTGTAATTATTATTCATATCGGCTTTTTTCTTAATGTTACAACAAATTTTGAATGATATAAATGATAAAATATATAATTTTTTAATCTATAATAAATTTTTTTAAAAAAAATTAATAATTTCAATGACTACGAGTGTCTTTATCTCAATGACAACAATTACTACAAACATTTCAATACTTTGTTTGTCACGAACATCATGAATCCATGAATTGCATAAACATTATGTGGAAAAAATTTCATTGAATGAAGTGTAATACTTATTATGAGTCATTCAATGATGAAATTGATTGGTTTCATTAAATTAAAATGAAACTTACTTTGTATTAAAACATATTAGCTACTGGAACATGAATTTCGATACGTAATAACGATTTACTTATTTACTATTTATTATTATTACTACTATTATTATTATTATTATTATTATTATTATTATTATTATTATTGTTATTATTATTATTATTTGGATTAAACACCAAACACAAATAAAACGCAATTTCTTTTGAATCCTCTTCTTGGCAGAAACTTAACCCAAAAAATAAAAACGTAAAATTTTAATGTCCCCTTTTAAATTTATCGCATCTCTATAATATCTTAAAAACTTTAAAGCGAAATCTGCTGTTTATTTTACTGGTTTAAACCCGATTATAATGGATTGAAGTTTTTTTAGGCTATTTAGACAATTAAAGTTTCGAACATTCTACAAGTTACGCGAAATATTCACTAGATTTAAGTTATGCATGCATTGCACTAAGCGATAAGCTCAAATACAAAGTGCCAAGAAACTATATCGCTATATACGCGATTAATAGGGTATCGGTATCGGTATGTATTCATAAAATTAAAACTTGATCTCAATTTAGTACCTCATAAACCAGTAATAGGGTTGGCACCCTCATTTTAAATTTAGATTTGGAAATTTATATTTTAAGCCATTTTAATCTAAAAATATGTAAAAATATAAACCAATGAATTAATATATACGTATTTATTTGAATTATAAATATATTTATTTATTTACAGAATATGTATAGTCGACATCATCTTCTAGAGAGAAATCTTTATAATGTAATGAATTCACGTTTTACATTAAAAGTGTGATAAGATCCCAAGAAAATATGTAGTAAATTTTTTTTTTTTCAGAATCGTCAGTCTGTTTATACATTTAGAGGTGTGCACTTATGGAGAATCCAATTATGATGAGTATTCTAACTGCAATATATTATTGCGGAATTTTTAAATTTTGGTCAAACAATGTGCGCTTAGGGAAGTAAAAATTGCGTAAATGTGCATTAATGGAGGGGCACTTATGGAAGAACTCATGAACTGTTAGAACCAATTGAAGATTTCTAATTCCTAATTTTACTGAATGTTCCAATTTTTATCTTTCTGATCAAATGCTGGGAGTAAAAAAATATGAATCTCACATTGTATCAATAGCAGAGACAGTGCCCGATCCAAAATGAATCCTTCTCGCCTGTGATCAATCACAAATTAAATTATTTATGTTGGATTCAATTGTGATGGATATAATCCCTCACCAGTTTTAACATGTGTAACATTAACGTTCATTGTATCCGAATTGCTAACCAACTACCGCTTCGATTCATAAGAATCACTAGATATATTAGGCTATGTCTTACGTCATATATCTGCACTTCTAATTTTGTCAACCATTCCCAAAATTTATCCGTCAATTATTTCCGAACTGTCGAGTTTTTACGTAATGTGCTAAAAACAAAGTTATGTAACGGATGGCGTATTACTGCCAAAAATAATTCGGGTTTCGACGGTCCAGTCATAGTAATCTATCTAATAACTCTACCTAGTCAATGATTTAATTGTTTTTTAAAAGCAATAAATAAAAATAATATAGCTTAGATATAGCTTTGCCTTTCGGAGGAGAATAAAAGTAGAAAGAAAAAGAACTTTCTGTAAGGTTAGTAGATATCTATCTGACACACCCAATAATATCTATTTGTCACACCCAATAATATCGATATTTGTGTAGCGCTCCGAAAATAACGGAACCCGTTTTATGGTGAAGTCATGGGAAAATTGGCTTTCAAGTTTATTCTTTGTTATTTATTGGACTCAGCCTTAAATCAGAACTTTTCGATCAACATATAGTATATGTCGGTTAGAGGCTGAGTCCGGTAAATAATAAATAAAAACTTAAAATCCCGAATCCTGATTTTCCTCGTATATCCAGTGAACAATGATCAATAAAATTTTATTGGATTATTGAACAATTGGGATTTGACCAGTCCAATTCCAATATATGGGGGTGAGTCAATAGAAACGCACCAAATTTTTTCTAAGTAAATTTTTTTGAAACTTTAAGCTTAAATAAC